ATCTTTAAAACAAAAAAAGGAGTGAAGACCAGTAGCACTGGAAAAAACAACCTAACACCTCTTTAGTGCTTACTGTATTTCAAATACTGTTCTAAGTGCTTACGGGTATGGATTCACTTAATTCAACAACTCTATGAGGAATACTTTTACTATTCCCATTTTGCAGATGAGACCAATGAGACCCAGAGAGTTTAAGTGACTTTGCTCTGAGTCACTTAATGGGTAGATAGTGGGGCAATAATGGGTGGAGGCAGAACTCAAGCCCAGGCAGTCTGGATTCAAACCCAGGCAGTCTGGCTCAGGGTCTGCGACCTTGGCAGATATCCTAAAGCATATACGAGCTACTCCCAAGACCACTTATTAGTAAGAATAAAGGGTAAGAGGCTGCAATTTAACCTGGCTTGTTATCAAGTTTTACTTTTATCTTCTCTTATTTGCAATGATTAAAAATGCTACTAAGGAACATCTGTGTTGCATATTCCAGATACAGGGGATGAAAGACAAATTCATAGTGTGGGGGTAACAAGTCTATACTTCAAAGTTATTTCCTTTCATTCAAGACAACATGCATGTATTAGGGCCTTCACCAGTTGATATTACTGGCAACACAAAAGCCCAATTACAAAGTGAATTATTATTAGCTAACTAGGAGTAAAATCACTCTATTTGTATTCCTAATCTTTCTTCTCACACAAGTATGAGTCTTTAGAAGCAGAGGATTGGAATTTGTAAAAAGAGAAGCAAAGCACTAATTAAGCCACCCAGTACTGTCTACATTTCACAAGAGATAAAAACCTACTCTGTATTTGGGTGGCACAGTAAATTCCTTGATTATAATTATGTAAGGAGTTTAATTGTGCATAGTGACATGACAAGGGGTTATACAAAAAGCTTTAGGGATTATATAAGATCAAGGGTTTTTTATCTGTTCTTCTTCTTTTTTTTAATCTTAAAGTTACCAAAATGTTTCCAAATTTAGATATTAAGTAATATAAGAAACACTATCTATTGTAGAGCATTGGGTCAGTAAGTCAATCAACAGAAAGACTTGCCAAATGTAAAGGTTTTCTATTTCCTCAATGTTGTATACCTTTATTTTGATAGTAAGAAGGTAATTAAGAGTTCTATTTTCATCTTTAAATTATGTGTTTTGCACAAGAACCAAGATGTGACCTATGGGTGTGAGCAGGCATACACATTTGCTCCAGAATTCTTAAACTTGCAATATTTGTGAACTAACACATATAGCCCTGGTGGGTTTTCTTGGAGATAATGATTGACTGTTACATGAACATAAAGTGAATTATGTAAGTTAGGATGATCTTTAATGTGATGTTATCTGTCTTGATTATGAGTGTTTTGTTTGGAAAAATAATAGAAGGGAAAATAAAAAAAGAGACATATGTAGGAGTACAACGAAAATGTCCTCATCGAGTTTTATTTATTTCCTATGCAAAGAACAGAGACGTTCCATCACAAAATGTGAAATAATCCAAATTTAGTCAAGCGAGTTCACAAAAAGGTGACACAGAATCATAAAGTATTTGTGTATTATTAGCGCAGACTTAGTTTCCATGCATTCCACACTTCATCTTTGAAGGCACTGTGTGACAGCACTAAGGATAACTATCACATCCAGGCTTTACCGAACTCGTCACAGTTTAAAATACTGAAAACACATAGAAAATTCTACCTGCCTTTTCTTTCTAAGCAACATAGTGAGGTCTTTTCCAACAAATAACTTTGTAGTTATTTGAGTAGGATAGAAGGAAATATCTGAATTGTTACACAGCAAATGATAGACAAGCAAAAGTCACACACTTCTCTCGCCTTTTTTAGCTTCCGTACTCAACGCTCACCCTTGCCTGTTACCAAAGGGTCAAATGGATAATGAATGAAAGAGATGGGGAGGCCCAAAACATTTTTACAACTGGTCAACACACTTCATGTTACTTTTTCTAAATTGAAGATGTGGAGACAGGCAGTAATGGCAAACTACTCAAACTTATTTATAGTAAGAATTTCAAAAGTTTACCTTTATTTAGAGTCTCTGTTTAATTCAACTCTTATACATTCTAGTATTTGCATCATGTGGATAAGAGCAGAGTCTTAATTTTCAAAGAATTCCTAACATCTGAGTATTGCAGGATCTGACTGCGTTAAGCCCTGTTTCCTTTCAAAATTGAGCTTCTCTTATTTTTTTCTTTCTATCTGGTATGAGGTAGTAAAGAACAGTAAAGAATAACTGTGGTTTTAATTTAAAGTCGATGCTCATGAGGTGGTGCTATCAACACCTCCAACTTCAGGCGAACTTGAGCCTTAGAGTCAGGATTTTGCCCATGAAGCCACAACCTGCACCTTGCCTTTTTTTTCTTCTTTCTTCCTAAAGGTGCCAAAAGCTTTCAAAATTCAATCAAAGGAACCATTTCTGCTCTCCGGAAAGGTAGCAGCTGACAGTAATTGGATAATACAGCCTGACTCATTTATTAAAAAGAGATTCCGAGTCAATTGATTTAATAACCATTACAGTATTCCATTAAGGATATAATAGGCCAGTCCAGCCCTATTTTTTACTAAGAGTTATAGATGGAATCTATGGGTGAAACTTCTAGATTTTTCTTCCTCTTTTTGTTCATCTATAGTCTCCAGATTTTCTACAATAAGCATGATTTGCCTTTGTAGGTAACTGAAAACTAAAGAATAAAAAACACTACCCTTTCTATATCTTATTAATAAAGATTGATCACAAAATTGAAATTCTGATAACCAAAAAGCTAGACAGGAAATGAGTAGTATTATGGAGTATAGAAAAACTCCAGTAATGAACTTCAGACCGAAAAGTATTCTAACCAAATACATGAGGAAGCAGAAATTAGCACAAGAAAAGGGAGACACATCAGAGTGCAAATTAGTCAACTTAATCAGGAGAATATGGAGCTTTCAGTATAAATCCACATCTTTCCTGAACAAACAGAAAACCCCTCTCTGCTGTGTGTGGTTGGGGGTGGGGGGGGGGGGGGCAAAGGGAGAGCATGCGTGTGGCAAGCACCTGGGTCCAATGTNCGCAATGATAATACCAACATGGGCCAGTGAAGCGACATCCTCCACAACTAGACTGAAGAACAAAAGGACAGCAACTTGTCTGTTCCCCTTCCCAATTCCCCAATAAAATCTTCCAAAAAAAAAAAATCCAGACTCTTGACTTGTTATGGGAAAAACAGGACACTATGGATTTTTAAATACAAATTTTGAAGAATAAAAAAATGGTTCCAAAAGAAGGAGAGGCTGATGGAGTTACTGACTGAAGCAGTCTTGCAGGTATGTGCTGAAGGCAGGGCCATGAGCACACTCAGATATTACTTGTGCTAACTGCGCAATGAACATGGCCCTCTCTTTTTAAATTATACTACAGGTCAAAAATCTGTAGGCTGAATGCGGTGAAGGTTAATAATTGGTGCTTGGAATTTTGCTCTGGAAACAAAGAAGTCAATTTTGAGTGACTATACTTTTGTTTTGTTTTTTTTTTTCTGACAAATAAGAAGGAAACACATAGCCTTGAGGGACTTAACTACTGAGTCCAAGACACATGCAAAATGATCACAAAAGATTTTCCAAACTAAGTTTGTCATTGTTGGGGAAGTACCAGATACGCGCGTGATCATATTTCAACTCCTATGGGCTTGAATTATAGTTTCTGATTTACTTTTTGTTGTTGTTGGTGTTGCTGAAAACTGTACTGCTATAACATCTAATAAAAGTTTCTTTTTAAATGTGCAAATGTCTATCAACTTCTACTTTAAAAATTCCAACTATATAGGAAATAAGTGCCTCATCTAAGAATTTTGGGAGGATTTTAGTAATATCTTTTTATTTCTTATGGGAAATGTTATGAAATTCTTCAAATTTAAATAACAGACATGTGCTGACAACATAGCTGCACTTTTAGTCAAACATCTTGTGATTAAAAAAGCAGCTTTGTGCAGGCAGTCTCTGCCTTGGTAACCTTTTAACATCAAGAGGAGAAAAGTGAACCAAACATGGATGTCATTTTCCAAACGGAAAAGTGCAAACTTCTGAGAGAACTTGAAATGCCATTTGTTCATCCTGATGGTTAACCTCCCTGCCCATTTGCGCCTTTAAGTAGGCCGCAATCAATAATGCTAATAAGCAGAAATCAAACATCTTCTCCCCAAATTGAACTGAAGTCATAGCTGTAAAAGGCCCCAGCAGTGGGAAGTATGCTCTGGTAGGAAAGACGTGTGATGGATGTGGCCATGGAACTCTCCAGAGCTTTCCTGAAGTAATCTTCTTACCAGTAAAGCAGACAGGACACTTGAAGGTGCCTCCCATCCCTTCGAAGCTGTGCTCTATCAGATGGCACTGGAGTTTGGCAGGGGAGTCAAAGGTTTGGCTGCAGAGCTTGCATTCATGGTTCAGTCCTTCATCTGTTAAGGAAAATACATGAACAGAAAAGTTGACACCCATCATATCTTTCATGGACCAGTGAATTAACTATAATTGCATTCATGAACCATCTGCATCACCAAATATGTACCAGTATATATGGTGTCTGGTTATTTCACATTATTTATGAATTCTATCAAGTTAAAACATTTCTGGAATTTAAAATCCAAAGATCATCAGAAGGCAGATTTATATCTTAGGGTAATGCATTCTAGTAAGCATTTAAAGTATAAATGGTATATCAATAATGAGGTATCTCTTTTCCTCTAGTTATCATTTTATAGGCTATGTATTTCCAAAGTCCTAAATTAAGGACCCATAGAAAAATGGGCAGCTTCTTCCTCAGGCCTCTCCTCTGGTTTATCTAGAAGGTTCCAGAAATTTCTATTTCTAACCATAAAGTTCTTAGGGGTATTCCCATTGATAAGAATTTCTTTTTCTACTTCCAAGATTTTCTGGTGAGTTTTAAATATTCTTAATGCTTATAGTATCTCATAAATGCTCTCTACTCTTCTTGGTACTCTCAGTCCCCCGTATCTTCTCAGGTCATTGCTTCCTTTACTTTGTTAGACAGTTTCAGTTTTACCCCAATCTAGATTCTGCCTGTCTTTCTCCAAAGGCACTTTTACAAGCTCCAGGCTCACTTTTGACTAGTCCTGGATTATTCTTTGATGTCTTAGGAACAAGATGGTAGAAAAATATTTTGACGTAGTAACAATTGCTATATAAAGTGAAGTGTTTGTGTTATACATAGAAACAATTATTTTTATGTTGCTTTTCCACTCATTAAAAATGTTTATGAAATTTAAACCTTAGGGATTATCCTAATTAATTTCAATTTTCAATAATAAGAAATGAAGACCAGGGGCCGGCCGAGTGGCGCGTTGGTTAAGAGCTGGCTTGGGGGCCGGCCGAGTGGCGCGATGGTTAAGAACTCGCTTGGGATGCCAGAGGGCCCCGGTTCGGATCCCACATATGAGGGCCAGTGACACTGCCCT